TCTCTAGATTGCCCGCTCACGGGCCGATAGCTCTCTTTCTTCTTCCCTCCATAGTCTTTCTATTCAGAAACAGCAAAACCACTTTTTCTGCACTCCACAAATTGCATACATTATATGGGATGGGATGGGATGAATGAGAAGAATTGAATGATTTGTGCCAAAATGTATATATACTACGTACTTCGTATATACGTACGTACCGTGGAGGGTTGCTTGTAAGATTGGTTGTGCAAGTGCTGCCTGTCGTTGATTGACTTGGCGGCCGGTTGCGGGGTGGAAGTGGCGCCGGTGGATTTCTTCTCATCCCTGGCCTTGGCGAATATGACTGTAAACCCATCCGCAGACGCCGGATTGTTGACGTCCCACTCGCCGAATTTTGGCAGCGGCCGCCCTTTCTCCTGCTGTCAGTCCACACCACAACTCCATCAGCGATATACTCCTTATGGAAAGGAAAAAAGTGCAACTCCCATGAGAGGTTACTATGCTAAAAATGCATAGGGCCTCTGCAAGTATCGAGTACAAAGCCTCACTATCTATCTGTCAAATTGGGATTATAGTCCAATTTACATCCTCCCAACGTACCGTCCGATCGGGGTCGGGGGCCCTCAAGGATCGAGTGTCATCCTTTTTTTTTTCAAGGAAAAAAGTTATTTGTTGTACACACCCTCTAGTTGCTCCGAGAAACTCCAATGTACACCGCGAGTGTGTATGTGTACGGTTAGCACTTCACTAATGGAAAACGTACGATCCAATATTTCAAAACTCTAACCTTTCCCTAGCTTATTTTAAGATTTATTTATTTATTTTGAACAACCCATAAATAAATGAAAGTGTAAGAATTTATTTGGAACCCGGCCAAATAATTATTATTATTGTATGCAAGTCCCCACACTATAAATTAGGGGCGAGCGTATTGATTTGATTTAATCAAATCTAATCATACCAAATAGAAGTGATCTCAAATGAAAACATATCCCTAATATAAATGTACGTGAGGAAAGAAGCATTAGGCCATTACCCATTTGCATGTACACGTCATTTTAGACGCCAGCAGAATTATCTATGCACAAACAATTCTTTTCGTTTTGTGACAATCATTTTTTGCACCGACAAAATTTATTGTTTGTCACAAACAAAAAAATGTAAGTGCAAAAGACGGTTCCTTTCACAAAACGAAAAAATGTCTATGCGCAAACAGTTTAGCCGGTGTATTAAACGGGGTAGTTTGGCGCCTACAAACATCATTTATCTTCCAGAGATTTTCCAAAATATGACTAAATAGAGTTTGGAATTCCAAAATATGACTACTTCGTAGTATTTATTGTCATCATTTAGTCATGACAGCCAAATAGTCATGACAATATTTATTAGTATGACAGTAATTTTCAATAATGTCGACAAGAACTCATATTTCAGAAAGAAAAATATAATAGTTCTATTTTGGAATTTTCATAATTGTTTACTCTAATAGGAGCAATTTCCCTTTATCTTCTTTCATGGCCATTAATGGCTGAATCTATGACCCATCGTCTACCACCTAACGTTTTTTCAGAACAATAATGAGGTGTACTGTATACATACATCAAATCACATGAATATTTAAATGCGTTACACAATCTCGAAAAATTCTAACTCGAACACCCGATCAAGATTTTCTTCATCCTAAACGAATGTTAAAAATCAAGGATTGTATATAATTCTACAAAGGTTGGAATTGGAGAGGAAATATATCAAAACAAAACCCGGCCAGAATATATATGTGAAGCACTCTATAGTCTTCAATTCTTCATTCGTTATTGATGTTATGAAATGAACAATATATTGATCATCAAGTACGTTATGAGGAACAGAAACAAAATAAGGAGTCTAATAACTAAATTGATAACAAAGGAGATGTATTAATCGATCATTGATATACAGATTAAAAGATGGAAAGAGGTATTGAAAGAGAAAAGAGGAATTCAACTTACAGACGTCATTCAAGATTGACTAATTGCAGGGAGGCTGCAGGGGAGGGGATTAATTAAGGAAACAAAAAGATATATGTGTGGAGAAGGTAGAAGAGGATGAGGGCAGCCGAGTTTTAAGGGGAGATGAATGAATTAGATCGATGATGAACACCATTCACCAACTTAACAAAGGAAATTCTTATTGTCACTTCAATTAATAGCAATTATTAGTTGCTCCGTATTTAGTCAATATTTTAATTAGGGAAATTTGCAATATTCATCCCGTAACATTCGGCCGTCATCATTATTAGTCTCGTAACTTTAGTCACTTGCAAATTCAATCCTCTCGTATTTAGTCAATATTTTAATTAGGGAAATTTGCAATATTCATCCCGTTACATTCGGCCGTCATCATTATTAGTCTCGTAACTTTAGTCACTTGCAAATTCAATCCTCTAATTAATTAATATTTGCGATTTAAGGACTTTTCACATGAAAAGTACACTTTCCGGCAATAGCATTACGGAAAAGATGTCGCCGGCGTCGGACTTTTCTGCCGGAAAGTGTACTTTCCGGTGGGGATGTCCTTAAATTACAAAGATTTATTAGTTACACGACCAAATTTGCAAGTGCTTAAAGTTACAGGACCAAAAATGATATCAGGCGAAAGTTACAGGACTAAAATTGCAAATATCCCTTTTAATTAACATTGAATAACAAACAACTCATTAATATATACTCCCTCCGTTTCACAATCTTTGACACACTTTCCTTTTTTGGTTGTTTCACAATCAATGACACACTTCCTTATTTCCTTATTTGGTAAACAAATCTTTACCAAAACAGTGCAAAACAGTGTCGAACAGTACCAAACAGTCTTCAAACAGTGCCAAACAGTGTTCAAACAGTGCCAAACAGTGTACTCTACAGTAAAATTTACCCATCAGTAACATTTTTTCCTTAATTCTTGACAAGTCAAACTGTGTCAAAGATTGTTAAACGAAGGGAGTACAATATTTTTTATTGGGCTCAAATTTTCTGATCTTTTTTATTTAAGTATGGTCTGATATGGCTTGATAAATGTCTAGTCTCTGTGTATTTTATAACTATTGAATTCTCGTCAAATTTTCTGGGTATAATAATATACTTCCTCCATCCCTTAAAACTTTGCAAAAGTTGACCGGCACGGAGAATAATAAAATAAAAATTGTGTGGTTTAGGTTTGTGCAGAGGAGAGAGAAATAACAGAAACCACAAAATAATTGATTAGAAAGGAAAATGACAAAGTTTTTTAGGACATCCCGAAAAGAAAAAATGACTAAGTTTTAAGGAACGGAGGGAGTAGTAGTTGCATACTTGCACCCAACAACCAGTTGTACCATCCTCGACCCTGTTTGTTCTCCATCTTTCGTGCTTTATTCAATCTAATGATCAAGACTTCATCATGAGCACAGCCTATTTTCAGTTTTATTACTACCTCCGTTCCCATTGTAACTTTCAAATGAGTTTGGCACAAAGTTTAAGACAGTGGATATTGTGTGGTGGAGAGTTGTGTAGAGGAGAGAGAAATGTGTAAGAAATGTTGTGAACCACAAATTCTTTATCAAAAAGGGAAAGTGGAAGTTTTAATTGGAACGGACGAAAAAGGAAAGTTAGAAGTTTATTTGGGAACGGAGTGAGTATTAAAAAAAATGTCAAATACGTGTTCTCTTGTGAACTACCTAATGATAATGAATAATGAATATGCAGAAGAAAAAACCGTACGTGCAACACGCTGTTTAAACTTGACCACATGCATTCAAACAACTTTTTTTCCATCTCAAATAAGATGTTCGGTTAAGGTGTCTATTTAGATTAATGGTATCTTTTATTAGATTCAAACTTTCCCATAAATGTCTTATTTGATCGGTCTGAATTGGTTTTAAATTTTTATATGCATTTTACCACTTAACAAATGGAATGAGGACACAAATATTACTAATGACTTTATGAAATACAAAAAAGTGACTACTTTTCTTTTTTCCCAAAAACATGACTTAGTTAGCTGTCCAGACCCCGCAAATTATATGGTGCAACCGGCGCACCATGAGGATGTTGCGTCCGGTTGCAAAAACGACGTAGGATCAGATTTTTTTTTTCTTTTTTGCTTTTGTTGTTAAAAATGATAATAACTTTTTTATTTTTGATCCGATTTTTATAAAATTTATATCAACATTTTTTATTTTTCATGATCTTTCAAATGAGACCAATATTGTGTATGTAATTTTAAGAAATTATCGAACTATTATATTAATGAGTATTGGATTATAAGAAAAATCGAATCTGTTTGGGAGATGATAGGTTTGTGAAATAGAAGATCGAATCTGTTTGGTAGTGGATCAGTGGCCTCATTTACATTTGATAATACATTGAGTTACATCTTTTTATGAGCGAGTTACATCTTTTTATGAGCGAGTTACATCTTTTTATAAGCAAGTTACATCTTTTTATAAGCAAGTTACATCTTTTTATAAGCAAGTTACATCTTTTTATAAGCAAGTTACATCTTTTTAAAAGCGAGTTACATATATATAAACACGAGTTGCATTTGACATGCTTGAACGCGACTTACATGTATTTACACGTAAAGTTACATATTTTTACACGTAAAGTTACATATTTATACACGCGAGTTACATATTTATACACACGAGTTGCATGTGACCTGTCTGAATGCGAGTTACATATTTTTTTACGTAAAGTTACATATTGTTACACGTAGAGATACATATTTATACACACGAGTTGCATTTGACTTGACTGAAGAGTTACATATTTTAACACTTAAAGTTACATATTTTTTACACAAATGTTAATATGTTAAAATTACATAGGCAATATTGGTCTCATTTGAAAAATCATGAAAAATAAAAAATGTTGATATAAATTTTATAAAAATCAAATCACAAATAAAAAAGTTATTACCATTTTTTAAAAACAAAAGGAAAAAGAAAAGAAAAACCGTCGCGGCTCACCGTATACCAGTGCACGGTATACGCACTCTCCAGACCCACCGCTTTCCATCCCAGCCCATTCTTTTCATCTCTGGAGCCAAGTCGACGCTATCAACCAAGGAGCTCCCAAGGCATCTCCCCAGACCGTCGCAGGAGCAGAGGAGACCACCCCCAAACTCGTCGTCGTCGCCTCCGCGAACAGGGTAGACAGATCGCCTCCGCCTCCCTCGCCCCTGTCTACTCCCTACGTCTCGCCTCCGATGGCTGCTAAGGTCGCGGCAGTGGCAATTCTGCCGCCAGGTCTGGTCCCCGCCCTCGTCATCGACAATCCTTTGATTTTCTTCCCCTTTCTTCTGTCCGTAAAAATCCGCTACTAGCTAGATTTGGATCTCCTGGATCATTTTCTTTGCACCGGCGTCTGGGATTTCAAATTGGGGGTCGAGGGCGGTGCAAAAATGACTGGGAAAGCTGGGGAAGAGGTGGGGCGGGTTTGTTCTGGAATTGGACTAAAAACAACGGCGACAGGGCGGGGGTAGGTGTTGATGGGTGTTGATGTTGGGGGCAACGACTTAGCCGTCGTTGCTGGCAAGCTTGGCCCCAAAATGTAGTGATTCAATTTAGAACTCCAATAGTTTTACTCATTAGTATTTTCTTACGAAGTATAATAATGATGTTGTGCATTTGTGAATATGGCAGCTTGTGGCGTCGGTGGGGCAAGAGGCTCCTCTCACGTTTCTCAAACTTCAAATGGCAGGGGAGGGTGCTGATGAATTGGGGCTGAACCGGTGGGGGGGCTATTGCTGCCTAGGTGGGCTGGGGAATAGAGTGTGGTGGTGGCCGGAAGGGGCGGCAGCAGACCAGCAGTGGTCAATTGACAGGCGGCAATTGCCAAATTAGGCGTAGCGGGACTGCGTCGGTTATTAATTGGTGGTGCTTACCAGAGAGGTTGTGGCAGTGGTGGGTTTGCTGACCGGAGTCACTGGCGGCGGTGTCACTTGGCCGTGTCACTTGCGGCGATGACACCGGTGGCGGTGCCACTGAGGCAGTATCACCGTTGGCGGTGCCACTGAGGCAGTGTCACCAGTGGCGGTGTCATTGAGGCAGTGTCACCGGTTGCGGTGTCACTGTGACTAAAGGTTGGGGCGGAGACGTCACTACGGAGGTTTCACTATGATCGGCGATGGCGGAGATGTCACTGCTGAGATTAGCCGCAAAAATGTCACTACAAAAATGTCACTGCCGAGATGTCACTGTGTATTAGTCACATTTTTGTCCAAATGTAAATGTGGTCACTTTTTTGGAAACTACCTTTAATTCAGTAATATCAAGGGAATAACCCCTTAACAAATTAACACAGTAGGCAGTTAGTTACCAGAGATTTAATTGAGTCGAGTACTTTAGACTCTTTAGTTACAACTTGTTAAACAATTTGTTTTACAAATAATAGTAAAACTATAATTATGATGCATTGTTAATAAAATTGTCACGATCATTCTTTCACATTTCTTTCCTTCCTAGGTACTTTAAAAGAGGCTCGAACAAAGATCATATATAGTTCTTGCGCCAATTTAACAGGAGTAAGATTTGGGACCAAAATATGAATTGAAAATCTTTGAGACTTGAAGGGAGTGTTGGTGGTTCCTTCAACTTTTAAATGAAATTGAATCTTCAGCAAACACTCCCTTTTTGAATCTTCAGCAAACACTTCCTAAATCGGGATTCTGGTTCGAATGAAATTGAATATGAGCATCAAAGGTAAAGTAGACATAGCTGGCAGGCACGACTGGTCCTGCTCATTTCCGACTTATGGGTGATATACTATATTGGACTTGTACCCAATATAAACTGTAAACTATACATATTTAAAATATGAATTATAATAAAAAAAATACTCTGTAGTAAAAGTCATAAATCATTTTACTATTATTTAAATTACATATTTGGGTAAAAGTAACAACACAAGTATTACATAAAAAAATACTTAAAATGTTTCTTGCAGAATAATGTGAAGCAATTTAATCAATAATTGTTTAATCAATAAAAACATTAAAACCTCAAGAGATGTGAGGACCGATGTCTTTTATTGATTTAGCAACAATTGTGTTGCTTTAAAATCTACAACTGGTCCTACTCAAAATTAATGTCTCTTTTTAAAGCTGACTTTATTTGAGACTTTTTCTTAATTATGTTCTATTTTTTGTCGAATTGTCAACAAAAATTAAACATTAGGCCTAATTATGAGTCCGTTTGGTGGCTCTGTTTTTTTGCTTACCAGGCTTATCAACTAACTTGATGGATAGTGTACCCGTGGGGTAGCTTATCCGAGGGGTTATTACGGGGAATAATAAGAGAGAAGTCAGAGCAAGTAAATATAGAGAGAGAAAGTATATTGTAAAGTGTGGAGCGTTTTCAGCGTGGTTACAAATGGGGAAATGGAGTGCTATTTATAGTAGCAATAAATGCCGGACAGGGACACGTGTCAAGCGTCCATTGGCCGAGAGGTCACCTCAACTGGTTGGCGCTGGCAACCGCATGTGGCCGCATTTAATGCGGCTGTTGGATGGGACGTTGTACAGGGTACGATGATCTGTACGCATGTGGCGCAGATATCATGTCGGGAGAGGTGCCCTCGGCTGTAGAGGACTAGCCGAGGGCTCTGAGTATCGGGGACCCCCTTGGTTCCGAGGGCTCCAGGTGCCGAGGGCTACTGATTTTCGCCGTTTTCCCCAGTCATCTTGTTTTCCTGTTTTGGCCCTCCTGTGAAAGTTAGAGCCTTCGGCCAGGGGGCCGAAGGCACCTCTGGTGCGCATTGTGGGTTGCTTGGTACTCTAGGTGCTGTGATTGGGCCTGTTGGGCCTTCTGGCATGTTGGGCCTTGATTGGAGTAGTAGGAGTCTGTGGGCCGGGGGTTCCCGGGCCATATACTCCATCAGGAGTCCCTCACTCCTTTTACCGAAAGGTACTTGAGGGAAAAGGAGTAATTGTGTTTGTCCTCTGCCGTTGTTCCGTTTGTAGTTTGTAAAGTCGTGGGTAGTCTGCTGTTTGTTTATTCTGCCGAAGGCAGTCCCTCGGTTACCCACATGTCGGGACTTGAGGGGTCATGTTTGTGATTTTTGTGATTTTTCCCGAGGGGGTCCTCCAGTCCCCCACTCCTTGAGGCACTTGCAAAGTGGTGAAAAGGAGTAGAGTAGTTGCGCTGCTGTTGTGGGCCGAAGGCTGACGCTTTTCATTTCATTTTGGGGGGATGCCTCGTTAAAAACCTCATTAGGAAAAACCCTGTGGGAAAAAATCCTAATGAGGGAAAAAGAGTGCACCGAATTCCCCCAACGATGAATCGAAAATGTGAAACCTTGGTTCAAAATGGAGAATAATGATGATGCCGAAGGCTCTCCTTGTTCTGAGGGCTCATGTGTCGATTAGCCGGAGGCTTGTTGTTGATGTCCTGGGAGATGCCGAAGGCGGGTCCCTCAATCTGGGGATCGAGGGCGTAATGAATGCGGGTAGTAGTTGAATTGTTATCGGGGGGTCCCATTACCTGTGTGCCGTAGGCTATCCTTCAATGAGGCACACTCCCCGGGGGCTACCCGGCCCTTACAGTGCTGAGGGGGAATCCCCGAGGGGTGGCCTGGTGTGAAGCCTTGGGCTTCTGGAGGGGTGATCCCGAAGGCGTCTGTTATGTACTGTGTGGGGCACAACCCGGGAGCGTCTCTGGGTAAGTGTACCCGGAGGCTTTCCTTGATGGAGTGGAGTGAAGCAAAAAATCCGGGGGCTCCCAGAATATAGCCGTTGGAAATATAGCCGTTGGAATATGTAACGTCAGGATATAGCCGTTGGGGGGGTTGCCACGTGGTGCGTGCTCGTTGGCTGCCCGTGGGCGGGCGTCACCGATTGGGTGAAACCTCGGTTGGTAATGATGGCAATCCAACCGGAGGCCCGGTTTCCAGGCCCAAGCCCAGATCCCAGCGCTTATAAATACCCCAAGGCCAGGGCCATTCTCCGCTGTGCGATTTCAGTGTAGCGAAGCTCTGGCAAAAATTTTCTAGAGAGAGAAACTTGCCTTCGGTTGAATCCTCAGTTCTCAAGGTCAGTTCCCCCCTGCTCTTCTCCTTCTAGTTAGCTGTGCCTTGTGACCTTAGGCTAGGAGATAGAACTTTTAGAGAACTCTAGTACTTCCGAGCCCTCGAACCAGTGCGAAGATGTCTTCCCAAAGTGATTCCCAGGACATCTCGGGGGCGCCCTCGGTGGCGAATGAAGTCTTTTCGGACGTGGAGTCCTCAAGCGAACAGTCCTCGATGGGACAGGATGCCGTCGTCGCCCTGGAGCTGCAGAAAGCCCTCGTTGCTAAGGCGGAAGCCGAGGGCTTCGAACAGGAGTGTGAAGACGAAGAGCTGGCCCTCGCTTGGCAAGCAGCTGAAGAAGAGGTGCATAAAGAAGGCGCGAGGGTCACTGTTGCTGTTCTCCCCCCTCGGGGTACCGGTGAGGCCAGCACCTCTCGGCCGCTGAACGCGGTTCCCATCCGGGTGGCCCCCGGAAAAAAGAAGGCCAAGGTCGCTGCTCCCAAGAAGAAGGGCAGCGTTGCAGACCAAGGGAAGCCCCTCGATATGCCCGAGGGGTATTCATACTTGAACACCGCCGCCTTAGAGATAAGGTCGAAAGCTGATGCGGCGGACATCTACGTCACTCAACTACACGTGGGCCCCTCGGCCATCGTGGTGACACCGGGTCCAGATGATGTCCTCTCCCGGGCTCCCGAAGGCTGCATTGCGGTGCACATTCTCTCCGTGTCCATGGGGCTCCGCTTCCCCCTGCACCCTTTCCTCCGGGAGTACCTCCGGTTCATGGGTTTGGTCCCCTGCCAACTGACCCCGAACAGTCATTCCTACATTACGGGCTTCCTCCAGCTCTGCAAGTCCCGGGGGGTAACACCTAGCCTGGATCTCTTCTTCCAGAGCTTTAATCTGTGCCGGGGGGGGGGGGGGGGGGCATGCGAATGCCGAGGGCTTCGCGAACTTGCAGCAGGTGGCCCTGTTCAAGCTCTTTACTGAGGCGCCCTCTTCGAACAAAGGGTGGAAAGACCGGTGGTGCTATGTGAAGCTGACCGAGAGCCCCTTCCCGAGGGAATTGCGTGACCGGTTTAGGAGGCACGAGAAGAGGAGGACCGCCGCCCTCGAGAAAGACGGCAGGATCCTGGCCAAGATCCCAGAGGGCCGGGACAAAAATATAACCATTAAGGAGTGCACCAAAGAGGAGGATCTCTACACCCTCGGGTTCAGGCGGTATCGCTTCCTGGGGGAAGCAGATGATAAGTTCCCGGCGTTTGAGGGAGCCTCCGGAGGTAGTGGCTGAGGGCACCCTTATTTTATATCTTAGCAGATAGTCCATCTGTTTGTTTTTTTCTTTTTTGTGCCATCTGTTAGTAACCCCTCGGTTTTAACCCCACACTGTTTTTGCAGGTATCCCAGTCAACATGATGAAAGTCAGGGGGCTCGCTGATCTGAAGAAGAAAAAGCCCTCCAAGGCCCCGAGGGGGACGGATGCTGGTGTCCCAAAACCCGCCGGTGACTTCTTCAAGAAGCCGGAGGGGCCATCGGCGGCCCCAAATACTGATGCTGCTGCCGCTTCCAAGAGGAAAGGCGCGGGCAAGGCTCCCGAGAGCAAAAAGCCCAAGACCGGGGATGCCGGGAAGAAAAGCCCCCCCGGTGGTCATTGTTGACGATTGCCCCGCCTCCGGGGTGCACGAGGGGATGCCGGTGGCGAAAGTGTCGGGGGATGTCCGGGAGCCATCTTCCGAGGTCCTAACGGTCTCCCTCCCGGTTGGTACGGCCGTGATGAATGGCACGGCTGACCCGAGGGCGCTTCTAAGAGGTATAACCCTCGAGATTGACAGAGCAGCCCTCGGGGCTGATGATGACCAAACCCTTGAGGATAGGATCCTCCGGTCTTCCCTCACGGTAAGTTTTGTTTTTGACAGTTTACCGTTTTTCGTTCGAGCCAGGAAATAATGTACGGCCTTCTTAACTTATCTCTTTTTTTGTAGACCTGCATTGCCCTCAGAGAGCAAGCCTGACGGCTAGAGGAGTGCCGTCTTCGCAAGACCGAGCAGGATGCTAAGATGCGGGAGCTCATCCGCTAGAATTCCGATGCCGTCCGGCAGATGGCTATGCTGGAGGAGAGCCTTCGGCAGATGACCCTGCGGGCGGAGGCCGCAGATCGGGGCAAGGCCGAGGATGAAAGGTCCGCAACTGAGGCCCTTGAGAGAGCTGCTAGGGAGGCCGAGGCCGCCAAGGTGGAGGCCGAGACCGCTAAGGTGGAGGCCGTCGAGAGAGCTCGAGGGGACGCCATCTCCGGGTTCTTGGCAGGGGGGTGGCGAGCTGAGGAGCACAAGCAATGGTTGTCCTCGGTCGTCGAGTCCTCGGTCGACAAGTGGTGCGACGGGCCTGGAGTGGAGTGGGTTTCCCGAAAGGGTAAACGGTATTATGATGGGGGCGAGTTTTTCACCC